CACACACACACACACACACACACACACACACACACACACACACACACTCCAGATGTGTACTTACATATACATCCGGCAGCCAGAAGCCTGTTGGCCAAGTATGGAGCTATACAGGTGGGGAAGATGGGCTGCACCATGTAGTTGGAGAACGTGATGGCTATGATGGCCTGGCTGGTCGGCTCGATGATCAGCAGCGACGTCCATAGGCGAATGAAGGCCATGAAACCCCCGAAGGCCTCCAGGATGTAGGCGTAGGAGGCCCCTGACTTGGTGATGGTGGTCCCCAGCTCGGCGTAGCACAGGGCCCCGAACACGGAGAAGATCCCTCCGACGGTCCACACCACCAGAGAGAGGCCGTAGGACGCGCTGTGGATGAGGACGCCCTTGGGTGAGACGAAGATCCCCGAGCCGATCATGTTCCCCACGATCAGGCAGACCCCGTTCAGGAGGGAGATCTCCTTCTTCAGCTTCATGGACTCGTCCGGGCACTCAGACTTCACAGATGAGGAGCTGCCATTGTTCTCCTTTTGTGTTGGGGCGGGGTTGTTGAACGCCATTGTTCGTGTTTCGGTGCTTTATTGCTTGATTTATTAAAACGAAGAACTGTTTTCTGAGATTTCAGTCACAATTGAAAGAGATTCTCGCCTTGATGTGCGACAGAAGACTTAACTTTTCGCCCCAGTTATCTGCGATCGTCTCCTGCCATCTGTGGAAGGAACACGGGTCATATCAGTGATGCTGTTACCATGGCAACATACAGCAAATACTTGCGTTGTTTCAATCCTGTCCCAAATCTAGTCAGACGAAAACATATTTACATGCAAAGGGCGCTAATGTGGGAACAAACATGGCACAAAAAAAAATCACCAAACTGCTATGGACACTGTTGGATTTGAGGGCAGTTTTGTGGATTGGAGAGCCATTAGGCCGCACAGCAAATGGCCTTTTAAGGTTGAGTGTATTGACAGAGAGAAGACAGAGGGGAGCAAACACGCCACATGCCTGAAAACACCGGCTCTTCATTAGTAACCACACTAGCCGAGAAAGAATTACCGACTGAGACGCACAAACATTTTGACTCCTAGCTGCCCACCAATCCGCCGACACAGACACACACACGTGCTAAGTTTGAGAGTGTCAGCACAGTGGCCGGTCACATGTTTTCCAAAGTTCATCCGCCTCAGCGTGTATGGAGTTTGATGATGAGAGAGAAACATGAAGGACAGCGTGCTCATTCACCTGTCTACATGACTGGTTCAAGCACAAACAAAAAATGACATATTAGCTGACTTAAATTGAATGATCTGCTGATGGAGCTTTGAATGAGAAAGGGAGTGCTGCATCGAGGCCAAGATTGCAGTGATGTTACGTTAAGATCTTCAGGACAAATTGGCGTCCTGCTGAATTTATGTTTTCATTTAAAAGACACTTGGGGGGTGACTAAAGGGTGAAAAGACGTCCAAGCATCCATATATTTGGTTGAAAGGTTGAAGGTTTAGCTGTAACGGTTCTTTCAGAGTGTTTCAACTGTACGCTTTCCTACCTTCTAAAAACAGTCTCTTTTCAATCAGACATATCAAAGTTTAAACCCAGGTGACCTTTCACCTTCAAATCCCCAAATATGTCTTCAGGGCTTGTTAAAGCGTTTTCTTGATGAGCAGAGATCGATCAAACAAACAAGTACAGCGACTTGGAAACAGAGCTTAGAAACACAGGAATGACTCGATTGAAATACAGTGTGTGTGTAGATGTAAAAAAATATGATCATGAGTTGGCAGAGGACGCTAAGTAAGTAAATAATTAAACAGGTGAGATTTACTGCAGATTTAACGAGAAAGAGTGAGAATTAAAGTCTAAATATAGAGATAAGCGACTGAAAAGTTCAGATACCTTGAGGCCGCAGCAGATCAGCAACACGTGGGTTCGCAAAGGAGTGACTGAAGAGAAGGAGGACAGGAGATTGAGCCGCATGTGATCAAACGCGTGCCAGACAGTGAGAGGCAAGGCTCTTATAGACGGTGCAAGGTCCACAAGCTGCTGATAAGTAGTTCTTCTTGAGTTACTCAAGGTTACATCCTGGATCAAAAAACAAATCCTCCCAAGTTTGGGGTGAAAGGATTCAGCTCCTTTTCTTTTCAGGGATCATTGAAACTAACCTTTTTATTATCATGAGGGTTTTTTTAAAATTATATCTAAAAGATGACATTGAGAAATCAGGGTGCAGGATGTTTGTAACTTGTTACACTAGCTGTCAAAGAGTTCCCTTTCTACCCTTTAAAATAAAAATTTCATTTCATAGGCTAAATCTAAGAGCATCTTTAGTCACATTACTTAGTTTCACTTGTTTGGATTGAAATGGCAAGGCACACGTGGGCTGTGTGTGTATTTATCTCGTATCAGTGCACATACCAGGAAAAAGCCCTGTTGCTGTACTGTCAAATAGAAGCAGCTGCTATTTTTGGGGGGAGACTCACCTTCTCCAGACGCGTTTCGCTCTCTTCCTGGTGTGTCCGGCTGGATCCCAAATAATGTGTAATAGTCTAATCGCGTTCACCTCTTCCTCGCAAACTCCCCGTCTCGTTGTTTTTTCCTGTCTATTACAGTCAAAACGTATCTTCTTCGTGCGTCTTCCTCCTCCGTCTTTACGCAGCTGTTTCCTCTGGTTTTGACTTTGCTCTGCAGCGCACCTCTGTGTTTCTCAGCTGATGTATTTGTGGATTTATGTACTTCTGGTTTTCTCCCATTGTACCTCCAAGGAAACGAGTCATACGAGGGGAGGGGAGGGGGGAGGTTAATTGCGTCGCATTGTGTCTCCTCAGTGAGTTATCAGAATTAAAGGGGTTTTAATTAGATTATCGCGCACATCAAGTAATCATCGGTAGAGGACCTGAACGATCGCTGGTATTCTTTTGATTAATGTTGGAATGAATATAACAGCGAGGCAATGCGTTTAGAGATATCATCATGTTGTTATGATTATGAAACAATGAGATGAGTTGTAAACTCACTCATAGTATAAACCTATTGAAGGCTACTTAAGTATACTTTTTGAGGTACTTTTACTCATTTTCATTTTATTACTTTATACTCAACTACATTTCAGAAGGAAATATACTTGTTACTCACTACATTTATTGATGAACTTGGTTACAAGTGACTTTATAGATTCAGATTAATCAAAATTTGATCAACAAATATAATATGACTTCTTATTGTAGCTTAAGCTACACAGCAGTAGGCAAAGTAATTCAATTACTGTGAAATGGGCCATTCTGCATCATGCGCACTTTTATTTTTGGTACGTTTTGATGCTAATACTTTTGAACTTTTAAGTACATTTTTACTTGCAACAGAGTATTACGCTGTGGTGGTTTATTTATTGTTTTTAGTGGATACAAACAAGAAACGGACACTGTTTGTACAAGTAAGGCCCACAATTAACCCATATATTGTACAGCACACAAAATAACATTAAAACAAGTGATGCTCTGTATACAGCAGGATCCCACCTTCATGAACTATATCTTAGCTTTGACAAGCTAAATGATCTTTGCTTCTTCTTCCACCAATGAGTATAAAATAAATGAAAAAAAAAACAAAGAACATAATGATGGAATAATCATGTCAGAGAAAAATAATGCAAATCAAACAGTTTTGAGTAGTGCTGTCAAATGATTTCCCTTGTTTGATGGATGACCTTTGGGCCATAGCTCCCTCTTGTGGATTTAAAAAATACTGAAGAACATGGAATCACAGTGTGGCTCTTTAGTGGAGTTTATTTTGACACACAAAATGTAAAATATCAGTAACACTTGGATTTATAAGCAGAAGGTTATACAAACACTTAATAGATGGTTTATATTTAGTTACCGGCATGTTTAAGTGTTTTAATGTACAGTATTTGTCATAAATTACCATATGAAGTTTTACTTTAGTCTCATTCATTTTCTTTTCATACAGCAGCCTCCACTTGGAGTTGACAAATGCATTAATAAACACACTCATAATTACTAAATGTTTATATTCTGCTCATCAATGCCTTAACTTGTTAAGTGTTAGATATTGGTGTCAAACACACTTTCAGCGCACCCTTTTTTTTTCTGATTTTGCTTTATAAGCAAAAACTCCCTGACTCTGTGATTCCTTCACATTAGTTGAGTGGCAGCTGCAATTACAAAAATCACCTTCATCAATGGCCAAAGTGTGAATGAACACCTTCTTTGTCTTCCAAATGGTGTTGATTCTTCTTATAATTGTAGACTAAAAAAGATGCACATTACATGACATTTAACACTTCCAAAACATTTAGCCTTCCCTACCGAAGATGATTACATCAATCACCTTCAGTAGGGAGGACAAAATGTCTACAGAGAGTTGATTAATGTGAAGTGATGAGTGATGGATCCGTTACATGTGATCAGCCATCTCTTTCACACCTGTGGACTTTTGCATCCACCTGCTCCCTTCTTATAAAGAAAACTATTTAAATGACTCCTTTGTCCTTTTTCTATTTTTTGATTGAGACACGTCTCTTGTCGCCCATGAACGCATGTGGACAAACTTCTCACACATGGTTCCTTTCACTCCTTTTGTCCCGCTCCCTGCCCTGAGCATTCTTTTCCTTGGTTACCAGTTGTCATGGTTTCAGAAGGCCCTGTAGGCTAAAAAACTGGAGGGATTAAAGGCAGCCATTTTGGGGACAGCTGGGCCAGGTTGGTCCCTGTTGCCCCCTGTCCCGCTCCCAGTCACTTGGGAGGGGAGGGGGGAAGAGGGGTGGCATTGTGTGAGGATTAGAGCTTCCTGTGTGTCAGCTCATTACATGGGGTGGGAGGAGGAGGGGGTGAGTACAGGGGTGAGGGGGTGAGCAAAAAGAGTGAGGGAGAGAAATGAAAGAGAAAATGAAAGCGAGTGCGTATGAAAGAGCGTATGACACACAGAGAGGGGAGGGAAAGGCAGGGGGAGGTGGTGGCCTCTACAGCTGCACCCTCAATCACACTCATACAGGCTCTGATTATCCTTTTCTCACACACACACACACACACACACACACACACACACACACACACACACACA